AATCTAGTGTGGAATTTGTCCATTGTGCAGCAGGTGGTTAAGTGAATTACAAAATCCAAGCTTGTGAGCCATAATTTCCTGCATCATCATGACTTTTTCGGCTGACAGTCATGAACTGCACATCCTTTATTGGGTGAAACTTACCCCCTTTTGTGATGTCAAATATAACTAAACAGGGAGCCACAAAAATAAATCTTGCTGTTGACAGATTGCCTTCCTTTCAATCATGCAAGTTAAGTTATCCTCATGCGGGTCCTCAGCATAGGGGAACAATTCATATTGGTTCTGAGAGGTATATTCTCAGTCCATTGTGTATTATTTAATGATGGTCATCGTTATTTGTCATCTCTAGGTAGTGATTGGCGAAACTTACCTCAAACTGCTGCTAGATTGACCAGTTCTTTAGCAGCAGGAAGCAAGCAAGAGTCTAGCTTAGATTTCTGAATTAAACCTATGATGGTGGTCGTAGCTTGAAATTTGATGATGAAGTTGTTTCAACATGTATTGCAGATAAACGAATTGCCGTTTACATTGATATTTTTGCAGCTTGTTTTCTTTATTGCAATGGATTATGCATCCTTTTCTATATGTTGATTTACTCAGAAAGAAAGAGAAAGGGCTCTTTGCTTAGTGATGATTGGATAATTAATTCATCATATAAGACAATTGGTTACAGATGCAATGAACAAACTTTGTTCCACCTTAAGCTTCTTTTCATGAGCATTTTCTGAACGTCATTTGGTGTCTGATATTTCTGATTCCAACTTTTATTTTTAAGTATGGAAGAAATTGACTCAGCCTGTCAAGATGCTGTCAATGGAGTGCCATCACGAAGACCAATTATTGAGATGACCATACCTTCTGTTCTGGACAAGACTATAGCACCTCCTGGTACAACAACTTCCTTTTACTAGAGTCATGTTCCCACAATGATGTACAATGAAGAAATTGTCATTTGATCTTATCAAATCCATGTTCCCACAATGACATGCACCAAGGAATTATTGTTCTATCTTTTTAGAACCTTGAAGAGAGAAAGATTGGACCATGGCTGTCTTGGTGCTATAACTCATAAATCAACTTTATCTTTCTCTTTTTGCCTTAGCAAGACAGTAATTATGGAAGACCTACAAAAATGAAGGTGCAGCTCTGGGTAGATGCACTTTATTAGTGATCTGTTGAATTTGATGCGCTTCTAGTGTCTTTCAGTGAAAAACAGCATGCTTTATTGTAATCTACAAATATATCGTCTGTATATGCCTGATTATATGCAGAGCTTGTAGCTTCATTTCCCTGATACTACTTTAGAATGTCAATAAGCAACATCTCAAGGAAATGTGGCTGAACCGATTTCTTACCAAATTTCATTTACAACTGATCATGTAGTAAATCGTTTGGGGTGGTTTTATGTATGTTTGACAAATTAGAGTCATGCTCTTTATTGCTCTCCTTTTTCTTGGATAAGTTTCCTTTTATGTTCTCTTACTTGTCTACCCCAACCGATGTCTCCCATTGGTCCATCCAACCCCTGGTTATCCAGGATTTGAGTTAAAGCTCTAGATGCTTGCTATGGATTGAGCTTTACTTAACTGGGTTAATACCATTAAAACTCTCAAACTGGTACCCGAATGGCACATTTTAACAATTTACCCATTGTTAAAATGCATACATGTCAAAACACGTGGATTTTCCACGTCGAATCTGTCATTCTCCACGTCAGATCCGTCTTGCAGTCATCTACCACGTGCGTTGACACGTATACATTTTAATGGAATATCGGACGGAATGTTAACGGAAGGTAGATTTGGGTAAGGGGTACCTACAAAGATTGTTTTTGGGTAAATGTATCACGGGGTACCAATTTGGGGTTTTTTTGTGAGACATTATTAGTTTAGGTGAAAGTATCATGGGGGTACCAATTTGGAATTGTAATGGTATTAGCCATTACTTAATTGGCGTTCTTGGAAACTTTTGCACCATTTAGCTTCTTCATGTAATGAGAATGTTCTTTCTTCATAGATAAGCATGTGATCAACTTATTTATCCAATACACACCCTATAAACCATCAGATGGCAGCTGGATGGATCCTGTTTACAGGGTGAGTTACGTTTTGGATGCATTGGTATTTCACTTCTAGGCTTCATTTTTCTGCTTCTCAGAGTTTATGTTCAGAAATCGAATATCTCTTGCTAATCTCCTATATATGTTGTTTGATGTCATTATTTTATCTAATTCTTTGTTTACAGAAATCCTTTGCAGACAGATGTTTTTCTTTGATTGACGAGTATTGCCCTGGTTTTAGCTCATCAGTCATTGGCTATGATATGCTGACTCCACCTGATCTTGAAAGAGAAATTGGTCTGACAGGTACACACATCTGTAGTACCTATGAGTATGACTATAAAAGGATTTTCCACTATGACTACTAGTATGTGAATAAGACAGGGAAGAAGTGGCATTATTCTGTTTCTTGTCAAAGTCGCTATACATATCGACAATTGAGAATATCCCTTCTCCTTGCTGCCAAATCTCAAGAAATTACAGCCCGTCGCTGCTATGAGTTCTTTTGCAAGTAATGTAATTTGATTGCCTGTGCTCCTTTCATCTCAGTCAAAGCATGCAGTGAGGCCTGGCTCAGATAGTGAGGTTCTCGTGTTTCCATTACCTGTTACTCTTTCTTTTTACCTTTTCAGCCATTGGTCATAGTTGTGTTCACTGGCTCTGCCCCTCTCTGCATTATACTGTCAATTGGATCTTGTTTTGATCTGTAAAGAAATAATCCCATTATCTTAAATTACGAAAAAAAATAAAGTGTGGTCTAATCAAATCATCAAATAGTCCTCGTGCAATTTATTATAACTGGTTCCAGAACCTGTCATACATAGACAATCCTTCTAATTGTGTGTTTGTCCACTCCTATTTAAGCTTCTGATGTACCTCTTGACAAAATCAACTATGAAAGTTGGCGCACTTCCTTTACCTTGAATGTTAGAGGTTGATCTTTTAGATGAACAAGATTTAGGCAATCACTGCAACTAGTGATTAGCCTCTGGGAACATTGTTAATATTATTCTGCTGGATCTTTTGGCAGGAGGGAATATTTTTCACGGTGCCATGGGTTTGGATTCTCTCTTCCTCATGCGGCCAGTAAAAGGATGGTAATTTTCGAGTCTACTGTTCCCCTCTGTCCTTGTGCAATAATGTCTCTACATTCAATCGTGGTCATTTTCTTTCCCCTGTCAATGCAGGTCAAACTACAGGACACCAGTTCAAGGGCTGTACCTATGTGGAAGCGGCGCACACCCCGGAGGCGGCGTGATGGGTGCGCCTGGACGCAATGCTGCCCAGATAGTTCTTCAAGATGTCAAGAGATCTTCCAGTTAAGTTGAGACCATCAGTTGGTTTTTCTTGGTGGGAGTGGTCTAGTCTTCTTGTGATTTTCATTATTCTCCCGTGATGGATACAATCAATCATTACAAATTTTCTTCTAATTTATATTTCTATGGCACTTGTTAATCAGCCAAACTTTAAAAAATGTACAATAATTTTTGGTCTGATAAATGTAGCTTATGTTTTAAAATCGAAAATGTCTTGTTAGATGAATCTACATGAATAAATAGTAAAGGGTTACACCTAGGACTCGAAATGTCTTGTTAGAGTGATCAATCTTCAAAGGTCATGCTTAATCGGTGCGCTATTGGCAAACCACGGATCTATCATTCTATATGGAAGATGATAATATACGTTAGCCTTTATGTTTGCTGTTAATTATACTCTTAATTGCTTTCAACAGCTTATGTTCACATTCGGAAAGGTTTCTGCAATTGTTTATCCTTCCTTATAAATAAAAACTCAATTGCTTTCCTTAAATTTGACAATTGTTTCATAAATCAATTGATTTATATTCTTCAGTAGCTAGCATCAAGATAACGCTTATGATATAAATCGAACTCATGATAGCGTGAAGACTACTAGCTCCACCACGTTGGCGGTTTTCTTAATCAGTTAGGCGGCCCAGTTTACCATGTGTTTCCAAGGCATTTAACAAGAAGACACGTTATTAAATTAGAAAATATGGCCCAGACAAGGAATGAAGAATTGGGACAGTGAACTTGAGAAACCGCACGACCAATGTGCAGCATCAAAATAAACTAGAAGCTAAGCAGCAAGCACACGCTCTAGAGTTCACACAAGCCCGCCGGCGCCAATCAACATTGACAAAATGGCTTCTTCTGACAACGCCGACGATATTGTTGACCCTCAACAAGGAGTCGAAGATGGCGATGAAGAAAAGGGAGAAGAGAAATGGCGTATCACTGCCTCCGATCAACCAACGCCATCCGCCAGCTCCCTTTGCGGGGCCTCTCCTCCCAGCTGCGCTGGCTGGTTGAGAGGAAGGAGGGAGGAGATGGTGTTCGTGATGACAGCGAGATGGCAGACTCCGCGGACTGACACAGTCGTAAACTCATTCGATTCCTGATTTTATTTCCATATCGGCGGCCCAACTAGAGATTCTGACATTGCCATGGATGTTTAGACGTTCATTGCTTCCACGGAATTACTGCTCAATGGAAATTTAACGACATTAGCTTGTCCTTAAATGACGTTTCTCTTACAACAAAAGCCAAACTACAAAATCAAAGGGAAATGGCGCGAGCGAAAGAGACAACGTATCCAGGTGAGATTGCGAAGCACAAAACGCCAAAAGCCAAATCGAAAGATGATGATGATGGTGCACCGTGTGGTGACTTTTTCTTCCATTGCCACCCCCCTCGCCACGTGACTCCCCGCCGCGAATATTCCGCCCCCCTCGTTGGCCGGCGAATAATCCACGCCGTCATCCACGTGCCCCTATCCCGCCTTCGGATCGTCCAAGGCATCCGCATCCGACGGTCGACCAAGATTCACAGGTTCACTCCATCTAGCCATACACATACAATTCTCTCTCTCTCTCTCTCTCTCTCTCTCGGTATCGTTGATATTATTATTATTATTATTATTATCACTACTACTTTATTTCCTTTCTTCTTTGTTTAGTGTTTTCCTTGGGGGTGGTGGGGGTATCATGTTGCCTCAGATTCGTCGCCGAGGTTTCCTCTGCATGTTCTTGGTCGTGTTTCTATGTTCTGCTTCTTTATCACCACCGCTTTTATTTTATATATGGGGTTTCGGTGAAACAACAAATAATTGCTTTCGTGCATGTCATTATCAGGATTTGGGGGGGTCTGCTAACTCAAAAAGCTTTTCTCTCTTCACTCTGCACAAAGCTTCCTTTCATAGTTTCGTCTCTCTCTGTTCTTGGGTCGTCGTCTCTCGATTCCTCCTCCATTTATCTCGTACGTTCTTTTTTAACTGCAAGTTGAGTAATTAAGTCCGTAGATTCGGTTCTTTTTCCAGAGGAATTCATAGGCGGTTGACTTTGGATTGTATATCAAAACCTGCTGCTTTGAAGAATCACTCCTGCTTTAAGTTAGTTTTAGGTTATTCTTCGACTGTGATTTAACTTTTTCTCTTTCTCTTTCAACCCAGAAGGAATCGATTTGTGGACGGACAACCAACGAGTCCCGTTTTGTTAAATTCCTGCTCGTTTTGCTGGGATCGGCTTTTCTTCTTTCCGGCTTTCAGGGGTCCTCGCTCTTGTTCTGTGATATCTCTTTTTTGGCCATTTGTTCTATATCTATCTTGCGAGGGAACACTGCTATTTCAAGGCGGGTAACGAAAAAGCAAAAACGGAAAAGGGAAAAGAAGAACAAAGAGGAAAGAAACTGGGATTTTGAGGAAAAAAGAAGTTGGTCCAGGAGAATTTCGAATATTTGCTTTTGTTTTTGAGAGTTCGAAGGGTCACTATACGAACAAAGGAGGAGGAGATATACAAAGGTGGGTTGGTGGTGAGTGGTGGAGATCTAAGACAGTTGGGTTATAGTTGTGTGAGACTCTGGGATAGTGTGGAAGAATGTATGGGGGTGGTGGTGGTGAGAGTGGCGGCGGCGGGGTGGTAATGACAAGGGATCCAAAGCCGAGGCTGCGGTGGACAGCCGACCTACACGACCGCTTTGTGGATGCCGTCACCAAACTCGGCGGCCCGGATAGTAAGTCCCACTTTTTTCAATCCAAGTTTTGTTTAGTTATGTTTATGGAACATTTTCATTATTATCATCGAGTTGGCATGTTTTCTGATTATATTATTTGCCAACAGAAAATGTGGAGTGGCATTTGGAGTTTTAGACTTTGGCATTTTGTATGCAGATAAGATATAGGGAAGGAAGTGAAATGGATTTCTAGCATACTACTATGAATTTGTTTGGACAATGAATGGATGTAAAATCGAATATATACTGTCTCAGCCCAATTAATTCAGGTTTTGGCATTGGACATATAGAACTAGTAGTGGGGCCAATATCGGTATGAGTCGTAAATCCATCTTTCCTCTTATCTAGTAGCGGTCAACACGCATCTTTTGAAATATAAATAACCCTATAAAGTCAATATGCAGCGACCAAACACAATCGAGAAGGTTATATCGTATAGTATGTTCATGTCTTCATGCTTTCATTTCAATAATTAGGTTCTTAAGTTAGAGGATTTAAGATTTGAACTTAATTATCTGTTCATTTGTCCTCATTGTCAAAAGATTATATTTAAAGCTCCCAAAGCAGGATCTACTTTGTATGACATGGCTTTTAGGAGCTTATGGCTTTCAAGTATACAAATATATAGACATTGCTCATAAAAGCGTGCGTAGAGATTCTGTTTTATCATCTCTCGTGCTATACAGTATTCTTCTCAACTATCAATATCGTTCTCGATTTTCGTAAAATGGTCAACACATGATTGCAAAAGAAGCATCATTCCTAGAAAAGGCTTTCTTCTACCGAGCTATGTGTATATGACATGTGTTACTAGGAAAAAAAAAGAAACTAATATCGATAAGCTTTATTTGTAGAGTTGATGTGGTGAATAGAACTTATGCTTTTTATTTGTAGATCCCACGCGATTCTCCTTATATGTGTTAATCTAGTGGACTAGGATTAGGTAATTAATATGTTCTAATGTTCTCTGGACAAAACTGTGTGATATAACAGTGATCCATCCGTTTAATATTCACCTTTGCTGAATCGACTCTAGAATATAGAATTTCTATCGAGGTTTCTTTTCTTCTTTCGATAAGTAAAAGCGGACAAGGGATTAGGGGTAATAAGTTCCCAGGCGGTTCAGTTCCCACCCAGGAACTAGGAATCGGACTAGAGGGACCGGTTTTCAGTTTCTGGAACTTGAAATCGGACTGGTGCCCCCTAGAATTGGACCAACTGGTCCGGTTTCCAGGTGAGTCAATGGAACTAGTTGCTTATTCAGTATTTTTTTTTTAAAATTTGTTATCAATGTTCAAGATGAAATTGAAGATTTTATTGATAACAAAGGCGTTTTTACAATCAGTGAGTTATGTGTAATATTATAGGTTTCATAAAGATTTTTCCAATTTGTGGCAAAATTTGGTTGAAATGAGTAATTATCGTTGTGTTTTGATTTGTTCTTGTCATCTTACTCACATGCATAAGTAAATGTAGTCGCTTCAGCCTTGAAGGGAATTCCTTTATGAAATGGGAGATAGATTAGGATATTTTTTTGCAGATTTTTAAGAAATAAAAAAATATTAAAAAACTAAATAAAAACAACTTGGTTTGGGTGGGCAGTTCCACACCTGGAACTAAACTAAAATTATGGATTTGGGAGCTGAACCTGTACCCCGATCCGGTCTGAGAGGTTCCTTTTGCTCACCCTTATGAGAAATGACCAGCTTTACTAACATACATTTGTCACAGGGAGGTAAGGACTAGTAAAAGAATTTTGGGAAAATTGTCAAAAAAGTTGTAAACCTATTATGCAACGACCAATTAAATCATAAACCTTCCAATTATGTCAAGTTAGTCCTACCCTTTTGACGATTTTTAACTACAATCCTTTTGACCAATTTTGGCTAGATATCATTGGCGTGGAGCCATCCTACGTGACATGGCCAATGCTGACTTAAATAATTTTTGCAATTTTTTTATTAAATTTTTTATTTTAATTTATCTTCTTTTCTTTTTCTTTAGTGTTAAGGGCTCGTGGCCCTCACCAATGGCCCGCGAGGGCTTCGCAGCCCTCACCCAGTGGCCAGTGGGGTCGTCGGGCCTTGACTAGAGGCTAGCTTCCCCCATTAGCCCTTAACAACAACAAAAAGATGAAGGAGATATAATATAAATAAAATAAAATAATGCAAAATTCAAAACGATTAAATAAAATTTGCAAAAATTGTTCACATTAACGCTTGCTATGCCACGTACAATGGTCAATGTCCACATTAGTGTTTCCGACCAGATGACTATATTGTCATATTATCAAAAGGTTTATGACTAAATTGTCATAACTAAAAAGTTTAGGACTTAATTAGCCGTTGTGTAATAGGTTTAGATTTTTTCAGATAATTTTCCCAGAATAATTTAATACATGGCATTTGATTTGCTCGATAAATGGTCTAGGACCATATATCTCTCTCTAGTAAGAAATCATATTCAAAAATCGCATTTGTCTTCATAAGTAGTTAAGGAAAATTGAGGTCTCTACTTGCCGGTCGCTTGTGCTGCTTGTCCCTCTCCGATCTTTTCTCTAATAAAGACAAAGTAAGGATAGTCGGTGTTTAGGTTTCCGAGACTTTAGTTTGTCTTAGGCCCCGATTTTGTTATACTTAGTGGACGGATTAGATGCTTATATGTTGAAAGTTGAGTGGAGTGTTCATGTATCATTAGATGGAACTCTGAGTCGAGACCATCCACGTGGCCCACTTGAAATAATTAAAGTTCACAAAACTCTGTTACCGAATTAATCCAATATGGACGTGATCTATATTGTACAGTAGATTTCTATGGTGACACAAAATCTTTCACCCCCGAATTTAAGATTCTATCTAAGGCTTCATTTATTTTTGCGAAAAACGAATGATTTGAAAAACATTTTCTAAAAATGATTGCTAGTATCGTTTGAAATAATCAGTCAACGAAATATGTTTTCATCATCGACAATAATTTATATCTAAATATTTTTGTGAACGATAAACATACTTTTCGTTTATTGATTCTTGTAAGTGATACAAATGATTATTTTTAGGAAAATATTTTTCAAAATATTCGTTTTCCACCTAAATTGAGGACCAACATAAAGTTATGGAATTGGATTGATCTACATTGATGGCGGTTCTATATGTGCGTGTCAAAAGCATATCTGTTCTCCGTATATTGACAATTGGGATCAAACCAATTTGAATTACCTTTCACAACATTGTTTAAGTAAAAATCTAGCACTGAGAACCTTTTGTGTTTCCCAATTGCCAGAAGCGACTCCCAAGTCAGTGCACAGATTAATGGGCTTGAAGGGCTTGACACTGTACCATTTAAAGAGCCATCTTCAGGTAATATTCTAAGTCTCTTACAAGACATCATTTCGTCCGTTGCTTTATGTTGTTCATTGATTTGGTAACAATAATCTTAAAAAAAATAAAAGAAAAACAAGGATCTAATATTGTAAAGGTTGAATTCTTTGCAGAAATATAGATTAGGGCAACAAACGCGGAGGCAAAACAGCGACGACAAAGCTGAACCGAGCGATGGTGAGTCCCTCCCTAATTTATAAAGATTTTCTCAGACCACATCAGATGCAACTTATCATTTCAAACTAATATATGTTAAATAATAGATAATTAGGAAAATCGGTTGTTGTCTATTCTTGCCTTTGCAGTTAATTATTTCCACATAAGCTCATTTCATTTACCAAATTTTGTTTAAAATTATTTAGGAATTCCTTATGTTCAATTTAGTCCTTCCCGAATGGCCAGTAGTTCGTTGCAACCTAGTGACCTACAGCCAGGGTATGTCCTTTATTTTAACTCTTTCACACCCTCTCTAAAACTGATAATCTAAACTCGAAGAGCACTGAAAATCAAAGTGGAGATACATAATCTTTCAAATTGCTTTTAGTTGTGTTTCCCCATTATCGTCTAAATAATGGAGCTATCATGCGTCCCAGCAGAGAAATCCCAATTGAGGAGACATTGAAGTGTCAGATGGAAGTTCAAAAGAGACTACAACAGCAACTTGAGGTATGAATATATTATTTTTGGCAATTTAATTTTGTTTAAGGAATATGCATTAAATTGCATTGAAGTATATTAGGGAACACGAACATGGCAACCATACTGTCGATTAAAAGTCGTATCACGGTTAATAGGGTCGAAGTCACTGCAAGATGTATTAATTAGAGATATACCCGAAGACAATCTTCAATAAGCTATTAACCAATCAAGAGAATGCGAGTTTTTATGAATGTTTAGGGGGGTTAAAAGCCTTGGAAAGACCCAAATCATTTCACGCTAAAAATCACTCAAAATCCCAAACGAAAAACAGGTACAGAAGAAGCTGCAGATGAGAATAGAGGCCCAAGGGAAGTACCTGCAAGCAGTACTAGAGAAAGCTCAAAAGAGCCTGTCGATCGATGGGAGCGATCTTGCAAATCTAGAGGTCACCAGAGCCCAAATAGCTGACTTCAATCTGGCCATCTCCAACTTCGTCGACCCCGCGCGTGGAGGAGGAGGTGGTGGTGGAGAGAGGAACAGCAGCAACATCATCAGCATGATGATGGGCATGAAAGAAGAGCTGTACCAGGGAGGAGGCCATCAAAACCATGGCTCAGCATTCCAGATTTATGAAGGAGAGAGACCACAGACTCAGGATGTTGAGGCCAAGAGGCCAGAAGGGTCGTCGATGATTCAATTTGACTTGAATATTAAAGGCGGGCATGACTTTCTTGGAGCAAAATTAGAGCCCAACATGATGATTTAGGTCAGTAAAAGAAAGAATCATGGAATGTCACTCTTTTGTTTATGTAGAAAAGCACAAGCACTTCACTTTTGGTAGCCTCCAATGTTCTATGTAGAGTGGAGATTCATTGTTATACTATATATATATATATACTATAACACACGGACACGACCGTAATCAGCAGTTATATTGTATATTAGCTTGGCTGATTTCTTCTCTGATTTCTCTTTTGGTCAATATATAGATGTCGCTTTACAAGAAAAGTAATTAGCTTTAAAGAATCTTCTTAACTTAGGAAAACTTCTACGGCATCGCACCATAGACCGCCGAGCGAAAATCCCGTCACCTGGCACAACCATGAATTCCGCCACCGGCCAATGTCAGCGTTCGTCACTAGCACAATCATTATCAACACGAGACGATCGATGCACAGTCGAATGGCCACTGAGATGGGGCGGTAGAGTAGGATGGCGATGCCATTTTTATGAACATGGCGAATAGGGATGGTCATGTAATTACCATGTGCATAACCCTAACTATTCCGAGGGGATGGATAATAATCAACCCTGAACTATGGAGTAATCTTGTTTGTACATCAATTGCAACTCACTAGAGGAGTGATCTGAACTCCTTTTTCTCATCACTTAAGGAAAGTGACAATGAATCTCTCTTAATTAACCCATTGCCATTTCATAAGACGCTAATCACTGAACCCATAACTTCATTTTCATTTTATTTTTCAACTTGTTGGGCATTTTATTTCCATATGTTTGGTTGATCACAAAGGGTTGACGACATTGAGCTTGGCTACCGAAAATAAATCAAGGTCAACAAGACAGAGGTATAACTAAAATAGAAGAGACACATATATGGAGTGCTTATTCTTGGAAAAATTGTCCAAAAAATCCTAAAACTATTGCATTTTTGCCAGTTCAGTCATAAACCTTTTAATTGTACCAATTGAGTTATAAACATTTTCACGTTTTGCCAATTGAGTCTATCCGATCAATTTTGGCTGGAAATCGCTGACGTGGACGCCAACTATCATTTATGGCATGGTGGGCGCTGATGTGGATAATTTTTAATAATTTTTAATAATTTTTGAATGTTTGTTGATTTTTTATATTTTTCTTTATATTTTTCCTTTTGTACATTTTTTTATATTTTTTGTTGTTAAGCGTCGCAAGGGGGCCGTGAAGCTGGGCTCGCCGGCTCTTGTCTAGTGGTCGGCAGGGGGCCGTCAGAGAGGGCCTACAACCCCTGTTGGCCAATGGGCAAGAGCCTGCATGTAACGACCCGGTCCGACGAGAGCGAAGAGTGGTCGTCGAGGCCAGAGGGTCTGGACAAGGAGCGGCTCCTAGCAGGCTTCTAGGATGGCGAAGGGGGCATGAATGAATCGAACTGTGCACTAAACAGGAGGAGAGCGATTTTGGAATATATATGTGAAAACTAGAATTAAGTCACAGAGACGCATTTTGACGTAACGGCAAGCTTTGCTTTGGAACTCTAAAAGTTAAGCGAGCCCAAGCCAGAGCACTACTAGGATGGGTAACCTCTTGGGAAAGTGCCTGTCTGTATGCTAAAAGACAAAACCGTGAGGCTCGGTATGGAATGGGCCAAAGCGGATAATATCTCGAGTGAGTTAAATCCAAGGCGTCACACTGCGAGCTTTGCTTCGCAACCCTACCCCATAGCCTGTGAGCTCGTAGGCCCTCTCCTAGTGCCACCGGCAGCCCCTTGCCAACCCTTAACAAAAAAAGAGAAAGAAAAGAAAGTAAAGAATGAAGAAAGAAAACAAAATAAAATGAAAATGAAAATAGTAAAATTTATTAAAATATTATTAAAATTGTTCACGTTAGACCGATGTCAAATGTCCATATCGGCGATTTCAAAAAACAATTTTTTTGACTACCAAAACCCCGAACTTTGCTTTTTGTGACACATTTACCCCAATGTATTTAGTCCATGGGCATTTTTCGTCTTTTCGCTTTTTCTTTTTTTTCCTTCCGTGAGGGGGCCTCGCCGGCGTCAGCCGCCGGGATCCGGCGAGGGCCCTCGCCGGATCCGGCGAGGGCGGCCCTGCGGCGTGGGCGAGGTTCGCCCTCGCCGCGTCAGGCGAGGTTCGGCCTCGCACAGGCGAAGCGAGGCGTCCTCGCCCAGACTCGGGCGAGGTCGACCCTCGCTCGGCCGCCGAGGCGAGTCGACCTCGCCCAGCCGGCGAGGATGCCCTCGCCGCCCCAGCGAGGCGGACCTCGCCCGACGCGCTCGAGGGTCGCCGCCCTGCTACGGGGCGAGCAAGGCGGCCTCGCCGGCCTCGCGGGTCGACCCTCGCCCCGGCCGGCGAGTCGACCTCGCCGAGTCGAGCGAGGCGGCCCTCGCTCGCCCGAGGCGAGGGCGGCCCTCGCCGGCGTCGGCGAGGTCGACCCTCACCGGCGTCGGGCGGGTCGACCTCCTGCCCGAGTCGAGCGAGGACGCCCTCGCTCGCCTGTGCGAGGCCGAACCTCGCCCGACGCCGCGGGAGGTCCGCCCTCGCCAGGGCGACGAGGCGGCCCTCGCCGACTCGAGCGAGGCCGAACCTCGCGCCCGACGCGGCGAGGTCCGCCCTCGCTCCAGGGCGAGCAGGGCGGCCCTCGCCCCGACTCGAGCGAGGTCGACCTCGCCCGACGCCGGCAGTCGACCTCGCCCGAGTCGGGCGAGGCGAACCTCGCCACCCCCCCCCCCCCCCCCCCCCCCCCCCCCCCCCCCCCCCCCCCCCCCCCCCCCCCCCCCCCCCCCCCCCCGGGGCCCCCCCCGGGGGAAAGGAAAAAAAAGAAAAAAAAAGAAAAAGCAGAAAAGACGAAAATGCCCATGGACTAAATACACTTGGGGTAAATGTGTCACAAAAGTTCGGGTATTTGGTGTCAAAAAAAAGTTCCAAGTAAATGTGTCTGGATGAAGCGTGGGGTTTTTGGTGGTTTCCCAAATATTTAAGATTTGATTGGCACAAGTAAAAGGTTTAAAATTAAATTAGCAAAAGTGTAATAAATTTAGGACTTTTTGGATAATTTTCTAGCCTAATTCAGATAACACTGCAGGCAGTCCCACTCCATCCAGTTGCCAGCACAAGATTGTTGGCTCTGCTCACGACTCCTTTGTGTGTACATGTTTTAAAATGCATTGTGCTAATCTAGAGTTGCCATTTGTGAAAGAAAGGCATCAAAAGATGTTAAGAATGGCATTCCCTCCTATTGAGGAGACAGAACCGGCCGACTTTTAAAAATGCCTTGTATAAGGGCTAAGGCAGGGATCGATACTTGTTTGATAACTCCATCAACTTCAACTGGCTAATCATGGTCAAGGCGAAGCACTTCCCTCCATCTATGCTAGTTTAAAGGTATAAAGAAACTTTCCGGTAACATTCTAAAAAACATTGCAACGTTACGAGCGGTGGGTGCCAAACTTCTGTTAGTGCAATAGCTGATATAAAGGCAATGTGAAAGCCAGATGCATTGCATGATAAGTCAAATTGGCCTAAACAATGCATTAGTTTAGATTCAGTTTTCGCAGAAGAAAGTGCAGTAGCAGCAGAAAGTGTTCTCTCTCTTTTACATCCCAATAATTTGATGGATCTAAATAATAGGCGATCAGAAACTTAGTCAAATCCGATTCGAATATGAGACCTTTTAACAGATCGGGAAATCGAGCTTATGTCGTGAGCGTAAATGCATCATAAATATCGACAGTCATCGAGCTACAGTGGTGGGAGAAATCAGTTGTAGTCATCTTCTCATGACACTGTTTTCTGTCTTTTTCCACGCTCAGGAGAAATGGTCGTGAAAATATTGATGGTGATGGCTTAAATGTATCCACCAGTCCAACACTACATGGCCACACAAAAAAGATGCCATTCATATGTACATATCTGTAGACCTTATTATGGTGAAAACCGACAGTGGTTTCCTTAATTAGGAAAAGACTGAAAAGTCCATATTGGACTTGGATTGTTGCCTACTTGTAGGGAGAAGCCCGAATTTTGGTTAGAGAAAGAAGAGCAAGAAATACACGAAAATCAAATCCTAATTGAAGTCGGCAAAAGAAGAGTCTCCCAGATTTTGACTTTATACAATTATGGGGCAAACTGTCGCGAGTCGCATCTAAGAAACGAGTGTTCAAGTCGTTTTCTTTGTATTTCTTTTCAAGATTGTTTGATTGATTCATGAGAAATTGTGAGAGCTTCATATTACGTAAGTGGTTGGGAGTGATTGAAGGTTGGGCAACATCGAAAGTGTTTGAGTGAATCGAGTGATTGTACTTTCCGTCGTATCACTTGATCTATTGTGAAATCTCGTGTTGTTTTTCTAATGAAGCTAGTCACACCGATTGAAATACATAAATGCTATAGGTAGCAAACGGGAGAGTTTGGTGGGTTATAAACGGGTTTGACCCAAATCTATCTATTTTATTCACATTGGCACGTACCCAATATAACCCAACGCAACCAACATTCAACCCAAACCCACCCAAAACCGTAGTCCCTCTTCGAAAAACCTTCAACATCCCATGAGATTATATTTGTTAAACAATTTAGATGAGGAAGAATTGTTACCTCCGCATGAGATGATGGCGAAGCGATTGTCGGGTTTGCAGAGCCGAGCTGGACCATCATCGGAGTGGCCGCAATGATGGACAAGCCACTCCCATTGCCTGGAGCCAGGCTAGCCTCCTCGGCAGCAAAGTTTAGGAGGCGGAGGAGATGCACCTACTTGCAACCGCAAAGAGATAGAGGGAGGGTCTTTAAGTGGGTTGGAAATGGATTCATAGTATCTCATTTAAACTCATTTATTTTGGTCTTTTCATTTTAAAACCCATTAAGGCTAGGCTTTAAATTTAAGATGACCCATGTATGATCCATTTTAGCAAACGTAGTGTTCGATTTTTTTTTCATATTTTGTTTATTGTGGCGTTCCATCGTTCGCTCTTTCCTACACAGGTCGTAGCTTATCGCTGGGCTCAAACGTCGAGATAGGTGGTCTTGATCAATAACTTCTCACCAGGCAATTTTGGGACCACGAACGTGCATTTGTCGTATTCCCAATTTTGAATAGAAGGTGAGCTATCTTAATGAGCAGCCCATGTGTCATCAAATTCGAATCCTAGAGAGGAATTATGAACTGCATCGTGCATGTCTCTGTAGTAAGGACGTGACAATACAGAATGTCACTTCAAGTTTTTGGTGTAAGTAGTTAGTAGTTACGCACGTAACTTCAAACTTATCTCGAATTCGATTGCTCGCACATCTACTGCACAATGGTATTCAACAATCCTTTGCCCACGGGTCTTGCAAAATCCTTGCTTAAGGCCTTCATCTCCTAGTTGGAGGTCGAGTGTTAACATTTGAAATATAATCTGCTTCGTACTTTAATCGCTCAAGTTTTTATAGTGAAATAAAGCACGCCATAAGAAAATTTTGCATGGGTTTCTAGAGCTTTGAGCTTATAGCAGTAATTTTTTGTAGGATGGGCTCGTCTATAACAACTTTTTATTATTAGGGTTCTTGTTGGGAAAATATGACCTAACCAAATATGGGGTTGTTCATACCAAACAAAAAAATACTATGAGATTGAATGAAAGTCAATATTTTTTAGGCGTGCAATCCCTTTCTTTAAAGTAATATCTATCCCGTTACAACGTTGCTTTCTAATCAAAAAGTAAGGTCACTTCGAGAGATATAACAAAGTCACAAAAAATCACAAGAGAAGTAATACACAATTTTTTTCTTTTGAACTTCCTCTTGAATTTCATAAAAGATTCAAAAGGAGAGAGAATTTGAATCGACGGAGAAGAATGAACTTATCAACAATTGAGTGTGATCTTTAGCTAAAACACTGAAGCCTTTCCTTTATAATGATTTCATTCTGTTAAAGAGGCATATCTTAATGAAAGAACGAACATGTTCTTTTCTGTCTTGCGGTTTATCGTCCGAGATAGACTTCAAATGTCAAAGAAGTCTTTCGGATGTGCAACGTGAAACAAAAGGACCAAAAACAATTGCAAAACCAAGATGCACAAGAGAATTTCTTCAGCTAATGTACTAGAGCCCCACTCATATACATGCATGGAAAGGTCCATGAGTAAATGCCCTAGTAATATTAGCTACGCTGAATTGATGGCACTTCTGCTTCTGCCATCAAATTTATCGTTTCTGATGCCCCACTTTCTATAAAAGATCACATGACTGTCGTTTTCTTCTCATAATGCGTCCACGACCTCCTGACTCACTTCGCTCTTCCATGCCAAACAAGAAATAAAAGAACACTTCCAAGTATTTCGCGCATGTGCAAACCTCCCGCACTCCCCATTCTCGGTTCACCATACTTTCAAAACCCTGAAGTTTGTTGTTCAGCAATCATGACTCTCCTTCAACTATAAAATGGTGAAGATATTGAAGATCTCTTTTGTAAGAGAAGGGGGAAAAGAAACAAGAACCATATCGTATTTAGTGACTCAAAACACTTAGTTTTTCTTCATCAAAAGAACAATATGTCATCCGGTCATGTTCTCGTGCTTACAGCCTTTGGCCATGGCCATCTCTTCCCTTGCATGGAGCTATGCAAGCACATAGCCTCGCGGAATTACAAAGCTACCTTCATCATCTTCTCGCATCTGTCCTCTTCCATTCACTCCTCTTTCCATGAGAACCCTCTGATTGAAGTTGTGGAGGTGCCATGTGCTTCCCCAAGGCCTGGCTTACCGGTTCACAAACAGGCTGAGACCTACAATGAGTTGGCACAAGTGCTTGAGGCCTTCCTCTCGAGCCCTCATCTGCAAATGCCAACATGTGCAGTGGTCAATGTGTTCATGCTATTGGGGTGGACCAAGAAAATATTCCAAAGATATGGGATTCCAACTGTTGCCCTTTTCACCTCTGGTGCATGCTCACCCTCCATGGAGTATGCTTCATGGAATGCCCACCCAGAAGACCTCGGGCCTGGGGATGTCCGTTTGCTCCGCGGGCTGCCCCACGAGATGGGCCTGACCCAATTGAACATCAAGAGAAGGCCCTTTGGGCCTATGTTGGCAAAGGGGACGACCACAGCCCCAAAGCCTTCGGAGAATAGTGGGCCGTTTCCGCGGAAGATGGGCCCGCCAGGGCCTGGGGAGAAGCCCGATTGGGTGGAGGACGTGGAGGGAGCTATCGGGCTCGTGTTCAACACGTTCGATGATCTTGAGCACCCATTTCTCGACTATCTGGCAAATCAATTCAAGAAACCGGCCTGGGGAGTGGGCCCGCTCTTGCCCGAGACGTACTGGAAGTCTGACGATGGCTTCTTGGTCACTGACGGTGAAGTCAGGGGGAACGGACAATCCGACATCACCGAGGACAACGTCGCCAGATGGCTAGACTCGAAACCGCGTGGCTCGGTGCTTTACATATCCTTTGGTAGTACTCTGAGCTTAACCCCGGAGGAAACTAGTGGACTGGCAGATGCATTAGCAGAGTCTCCATGGCCATTCATTTGGGTGGTCCAGCCCAATTCAGGCGGGCCTACGCCTGGGCACTTCCCAAATGGGATGGACGACAGAGTGGGCGACCGGGGCTTGATAATAGCCGGATGGGCACCGCAGTTGTTGATCCTGAGCCATCCATCAACTGGTGGCTTCCTATCACATTGTGGGTGGAATTCTATTATTGAGTCCATCTTGAAGGGGGTCCCGTTCCTGGCATGCCCGATTAGAGGCGACCAATACGACAACGCTAGGTGGGTCGCGGAGCACTTGAAGGTTGGGTATAAGGTCTGTGAGGACCCGTCACAGTTTGTCAAGAAGAGTGATTTCGTGAAGGGAATTGAGAGGCTAATGGCGGATAAAGATGTTAAGAACAGAGCTATGGAGCTCCAGTCTCGGTTTGGGCATAGTTTTCCGGCAAGCTCAAGTGCTGCTCTGGATGCTCTGTTAAAAGGAGGCTAGTAATCTTTGAGGCTGTTGAATGTAATCTTTTGATTCTATCAACATAATTGAAATGCTTCGACGGGGCTACCCTTGTCAAGATGCATTAAAGAGAGTCATAATGACTTGCATGGCCGATTTTCATCTTGCTACCATCCACGAACAATGTACTGGAATCCTACTATTGCGTCCGTTTCATCTCTTTTTGGGGCAAAGAAAGTATTATTTTCCAACGGGGGTTTTGAATATTTATTTCGAGCTTATTATATAGCGGTCAATTGAATCATCAACTTTTCGATTTGATTAATCTAGTCCTAAACCTTTAAACGATTTGTCAATGTAGTCATTCCAACCAAAATTGGCCAAAATCACTAATATAACGGTCTAATTAGTGCCGACTGTCCTACGTGATATAACAACTCAACAACCAAAGGCGAAGAGGATAGGGATTACAAGGAGCTTCGACTAGGGGTGATCGATTCCCGAATGGTTTAGTTCCTGCCTAGGAACCAAGATCCTGACCAAAGGAATTGGTTCCTAGTTTCTAAAATCGAGAACCGAACCAACGCCCCTAGAACCGGTCCAGTCCGATTCCCGAATGGGTCAATGAAACTAGTGGCATGTTCTTTTTTTTAATTTACCGTTACATTCTCTTGTTATACCTTCAAAGCATAAACTTTCAATTATTTTTCTCATAAAATGGGCACACCCTTTTGGACTTCGATGTCGTGCAAACCAAGCGACGGGTGGCCGTGGCTGCGCAAGGTGACGCAACATCGGAGCTGCGCGATCCCTTGCTAGCGTCCGTGCAGCTCCTTCATCTCCGCGAAGTCCAAATCCGCAAGGAGAAGATAAATAGTCACGAGGGCAAAACCCAAATATGAAGATAGTGGGGGCAATTTGGGAAAAAATTTCACTTACCTTGGATCCTGCCTTCTGAAATGCCGAAAGCTTAAGCAGGGGACTTGCCTTGGACTTTCGGGTTTGCCAATACTGGCATTCCCCCAAAGTCTCAAAAAATATTTGCCAAACACCCAAATTTTTTTCGAGGGACTTTAGAGACCCAAAATCCCTTAGGAAAGTTGAACCAAACGCAACAGTGAGGTTAATAATTTGTAGATATGGATATGCTCGACAGAGCCGACAATAAGAGGCAAATATCCAACAGCAATAAGATAAAAAAAAAATAATGCAATTTAGGTCATTGCATAATGGATTAACTATGCCTGTAATTTGCAAATGCAAACTTAAAAATTACATTAAGTGTGAACTATAATTCAGGAATATACAAACCAATGGCGTAGAGAAGAATGTGTGTAGTGTGAACATGTTGAACTGTATTAGCAAGGAAAATGGAATGAGGAGGAGATAATCTTGTTGCACCTTGTAATACCTCAGTCATTGGATAATTCGCAATCTAAGCAAAGAACTCAAAGAATTGGAAGTGCCGATCCCCGATTGCTTATCTACAAAAGAAAGGATTGCATGACCGATGTCTGCAAGTCCACAAGTGAATGAGAAGAATCGGAAGCTTCAGACCTTTACAGATCACCATGCCAAGCTTGCTGGGAAGCTCTGTATCCTGCCCAAAATCCTGTGTTAGGATATAGGTCAAAGAAAAGAAATTAGAGCTGTCCGAAAAACAATAAAATGTTAAAGATGCGATAGACTGAAGAATAGCGTACATGCATCTTCAAGTAGAGAAAAAATCTTTGTACAAGTATTTCGGATTGTCAAGGGGTTTCTGATTCCAGCTCTGGAATAATTGCAGAAGACAACTCTATGTGGGAGACGCGTACGGCCCCAATTAGCCGCTCAGGTAATTCATCAGTAGTGTTAGCCTGTTGCATGATATCACATCAAAGGTCAAGATTCCTCAAACAAACATATAGACATGAGAAGTAAGTTAGCAGGACACTTCTACCCAGGAACATAACCCCTTAGCATTTAGCCGGTTTTCTAGGAGGGAAAAACCCATTTTACTATAGACAGATTATTCAACTTTCTAAAAATGATCAAGGATGTAATGCAAAATCATAACGCAGATTGTGACAGCATCAACTGGTAGCTTAGCAAGTCTGTACCCTCATTTTTGTCAGCATCTTTAATCGGCATCCTTCAAACAAAATCCGGCTTTTCTCTTACTTGCCCTTCTAATGCTTAAAATTGATTGTATTTATTTAAGGGAAAAAACCACCAAAAACCCAAACTTTACCATCGTGACACATTTACCCCAAACTTTTTTTGTTACACCAAAACCAAACTTTGCTATTTGTGACACATTTACCCCAATATATTGTAGCCTAGGGTATTTTAGTCTTTTCCCTTTTCTATTTTTTCTGTTTTTTTTTTTTTCCGCGAGGCTGCCCTCGTCGGCGAGGTCTCCGGCGACCTCGCCGGCGCAGGCGAGGGCTGCCTCGCCCCGCCCAGGCGAGGCTGCCCTCGCCGGCGTTGGCGAGGCAGCCCCGCCTCGCCGCGTCGGGCGAAGGACCCTCGCCCGCCCAGCGAGGCTGCCCTCGCCGGCGTTGGGCGAGGGCAGCCCTCGCCTCGCCGGAGTCGGGCGAGGTGAAGGCTGCCCTCGCCTGGGCGGGCGAGAGCTGCCCGCCGGCGTCGGCGAGGGCTTCCCTCGCCCGCCCGGCGAGGGCGGCCTCGCCAGATCCGGCGAGGGCGACCCTCGGCCGACGCCGCGAGGGTCGCCCTCGCCGATCCGGCGACGGCCGCCCTCGGCCGATGCGGCGAGGGCCCCCTCGCCGGCGTCGAGCGAGGGTCGCCCTCGCCCGGGCGAGGCGAGGCAGCCCGCCGACGCCGGCGAGGGCGAGGGCGTCGGCGGGGCTGCCCTCGCCGCCTTAGCGAGGGCGACCTCGCCCGGCCGCGGGCCCTCGCCCCGATCCGGCGTAGGGTCTTCGCCGCATCGAGCGAGGGCGGCCTCGCCCATCCGGGAGAGGGCGACCCTCGCGGCCGAGCGAGGGTCGCCCTCGCCGACGCCGGCGGGCAGCTCCGCCCGCCCAGCGAGGGCAGCCTTCACTGGCCGGGCGGGGCGAGGTCCCTCGCCCGACTCGAGGCGAGGGCTGCTCCTCGCTCAACGCCGGCGAGGCAGCCCTCGCTCTGGGCGGGGCGAGGGTAGCCCTCGGCGCGCGGCGAGGTCGCCGAGACCCTCGCCGGCGGGCAGCCTTGCCGGAAAAAAGAAAAAAAAACAGAAAAAAAATAGAAAAAAGGAAAAAGACTAAAATACCCTAGGCTACAATATATTGGGGTAAATGTGTCACAAATAGCAAAGTTTGGGGTTTTTGGTGTCACAAAAAAAGTTTGGGGTAAATGTGTCACGTATGGTAAAGTTTGGGGTTTTTGGTGGTTTTTTCCTTTATTTAAAGTGACAGTAATAAAAGACAAACGGCATTGGACCAAAAAAGGAAAGCTGCCAAAAGTATCCAAGAGCCAGCCTCGAAATTCCTACAGGGAAGTGTTCAAAACCTTAACTAATCTCCTCAGGTGATGAACTTCTGTCAAACTTTCCCTCTACCTTTCAAGGTTTGGAGTTGATTTAGATTTCTAGCTACAAATATATCCGTCATTAAAAAAAAAAAAAAGCATTATGCCAATTCTCCTGGTAAATAGTGAATCGTCCCAGTTCTCACCCTCCAGGAACGAACTTTGTGCCGTCTAGGCCCTTACTAACAACAGATGCAGACAGGGACATCCAGATCAATATACCAATGACAAATCTGGATACTCTCTCTCTCCTCCAAAAAAAAGATTGATCCTCGGGTCTATCTATGTTATGTATCCAAATTACTCGAATCATTTGGAAAAGATCAAACAAACATAGAACATGCCTGAGCTCAACTGACTATATTTCCCCTTTCCTTTTTTGGCAATCTGTGAGTCACCTCGATCATATTCCCTCATGTTTTATTTTGGGAGAATGTGCACCACTGGAAGATTTAACATTGAGATTGTAAGGATTATAGACAGGAAATTCAGAAGACATAGATGTTTATTTCTGCCAGCAAAGCAAATCTTAAGCAAGAAAAAAAAATTGTCTTTAACTTCTTTAAACTTCACAGACAATGCAACTACTTCCTCAGAGCTCGAGATGGAATCATAACTAGACACTATCTATACAACATCGTGAATATGTCAGTCACGTTTAAGCAAGCTCTAAAATGGCAAGCTGCAAACACATCCCCAACCCCAGCAGAAATACACACCCATGCATTCCCATACAGACAGAGACACAGCAGATGCACTGAAACACGTACATATATGTGTAGTCAGACTTTCAGACTTATAGACAGTTCAGCTCTCCCAAAAAAAAACAAAAGAAAACCAGGCCACAACCCAGAAAGACAAGGATATCCACTCAAAAGAAAAAGAGTACTAAAAGTCCAATTTCCTAGACAGGACATACCTGTACAAGAAATGCCACGTCAAATACCAGCGTTGTGATGACACCAATTACGATCCCCAATACTCCATTAGCAACAGTGGAAGAACCAATGTCAACATCAATCTGCAGAAAGACGAGATGATTTCATATAATATATCAGGTTTCAGAACAATTTACAAAGCAACTTTTAACTAAATAAAGAAAATTCATTACCTCTAAGTACTTAGGTTCACGAATGTAATTGCAATCAACAGCTTTCCCCAACAAACAGGGTGTGCTTCCAACACTCTGTCGCACAATCCATGAACCCTGTCCAATCCACATCAAAACAGACATATTTGACTAAATTGCTACAATAAATAAGAAGGAAACGGCTCTTAACTGACAAAGAGCTCCAGGGTCTTGGTGGCTAAAAAATTCAATTATGAGCCAACAATTATCTGGAAGATTCTTAGACAAATATTTACAAGCACCCATATCCACCAATACCCCATTTCATGGCTAGCATGAGTTTCACAATGCAGAATGAGCCTCAAACAGTATCAGACAAGTTCTGACCATCAATCTTGGCATAAAAGAAACTGGGGCAAGTACCTTGGGAACCAAAGGGATCAACTTCAGCCTACTATTACGG